TGTCTGTCAGACAAGTCGGGACCATCCCGGGAGAGGTGATGGACGAGGCGGGCGGCAATCACTCTCTCGAAAAGCTTGCCCACCTCGTCCAACAGGCAGATCGGCCTGTAAGCGGACGGGCCCTCCGCTGGTCGGCCCTCCTTGGGTAGGAGGACCAGACGGGCCCTTTTCCACCGACTGGGAAAGACCCCCGCTCTGAGGCAGTCCGTGAACAGTCGCCTCAGGCGGGGACTCAACTCCTTCAGGGCCAAGGCCCACACCCTGCCCGGCACTCCGTCTGGCCCGGGGGCTTTGGACTTGCCTCCGAGCCTTTTGGCAGCGGCTGCGAGCTCCGGCTCGGTGACCCCCAGGCGCGACTTCCATCCAGGCGGGGGGCCCTCATACGGCAGGGGCTCCGGCCCCGCCGTGGGAAAGAGGGTCCCCACCACATTATCAAGCGCCTGAGGGTCCAGATCGTCCGTGGCTGGGGGCGCCCAAGTCAAACGTCCGAGGACAATTCTGTAAGGGCGCCTCCACGGATCCCTATCTAACTCCTCAAGCAGCCGCTGCCACGCCTGGGCCTTGGCCCTAACTATGGCCTCCGCGCGGCTCGGAGAGACCTGCGCGCCAATTCCCATGCCGGCCCCCTCCGCCGTGCCGTGCGCATGCGCTGTACGTGACGCCGGAGGAGGATGACGGACCTTCGTAGCTCCGCCACCTCCTCGCACCACCAATAGGCGGCACGGCGGGGGGTGGGCCGAGCTCGGGGCATGGAGGAGTCGTAGGCCGTCTCCTCTTCAATGTCCTCCCGGGCCAGCAATGGGGGGAGGGGTAGTTCACCCCCCCCCGCCCAGGAGGACGCGATCACCGACGCCTTGAGGGCGTCCTCGTCTAGGCGGCGGAGTGCCCAGCGCGGTGGCCTCGATCCGGCCCCCTCCCGGTGACGACAGAGCACCTCCTTCGAGGTGGCGACCACGGACATCTCGATCAGCAGATGGTCGGAGTTGATGTCCGTTTCGATTGCCTCCCTCCATCCCCTCACTGCGCGCACCGCAGGGCGATTGCCGAAGGTCAGGTCCACGATGGACTCGCCCTGCGGGCGCACACAGGTGCTCACGGAGCCTGTGTTGATGAGGAACAGGCCCCTCGTCGCCGCCCACTCGAGGAGGTCTTGGCCTCGGGGGTCCGTCCGCCGGGAACCCCACTCCCTGGCGTGGGAGTTGAAGTCCCCGGCGACTATCACTGGGTGGGGCGCACATTCATCCAGCACGCGCCCCACCTGCTCCAAGAAACTCCCGAAGCGGGCCCTCGACCACTCTCTCGAGCGTGGAGGGGCATACACAAAGACCACCCTCATTGTGCCCCACTTCGCCGCCACGATATATCTCTCCGCTCTGATTAGCTTAGGGCGGGGAGATTCCTCTCCCGGGCGCCAGTAGATCGCGGCGCCCGGATGCTCGCGCCGGAGCCCCAGCCATCTACTGTCTCTTTCAGGGATGTGATGGGGCTCCGACACGAGCGCAAGACCGCCATTCCGCTCCGCGAGGGCTTGTAGGAGTAGGTCCTGGGCCCCCGCGGAGTGGTTGACGTTTGCCTGGAGGAGCTTTGTGGCCATTTCTAGGCTTTATTCTGCCCCTCCAGGCAAACCTCCACCTCTTCCGCCGGCGGTGGGCAGACGCTCTCACCCACCAGCGGAGGATCCGCCGCTGTTACCGGCAACTCCTCCATCTCCACATCCGTTATTACCGGAGGCGTAGGTCCCTCCGAGACCGACCCCCCCTTTCCCCCCTTTCCCCTCCCTTCCCTGGGCTTCCTCTGCCCCAGGGGAGGGAACTCCTTTTCGACCAGCGAGGCCGGTTCAGCCGACAGGGCCGGCTGGGATACTGCGGTCGCGCTGGCCGCTGTAGGGGAGGCTCTCGTCGGGGCTCGGGCTTTCCCCGCGGCGCTCTTCCCTCCCTTCCTCCTCTTCTTCTTCTGGGCGGCGATACAGGCCTCGCCGCCCAGACGATGGACGGCCTTTTGGCCGTCCTTTGAGCACACGGGGCAGGCCATCTGCCCCGTGCACTCGCTTGCCTTGTGGCCACATTCGCCGCACCGATAGCAGCACCCGGAGCGGTCCTGGGTGCTGTAGCATTGGCTGCGAGTGTGGCCCTCCTCGAAGCCCCTGTAACAAGTCAGGGGTCTCCCCGTCAGCAGCTCCACTCGGACGAGCCCCCAGCCAATCTTCAGACGCCCCGAGGATACCACCTTTTTGACAACGGCCATAGGGGCCGTTATTCGGGTCGTTCCCAACCCCCTGGGGGTCCTTGAAATGGGCCCCACCCTAACCACACTGGCCTCACATCCTGCGGCGCTCGCTACCGCAGCCGAGATCTTTTCCTGGGTGACCGAGTCTTCCAGGTCGCGTATCCGGAAGTCTGCCCTTTTTACCGGCCGGTCGACCCGGACACCCTGCTGATCTACTAGCGCCGCCCGCATCCTCTCGGCCAGCTCATTAGCCTTTTGATCCCCGTCGGAGCCAGGAATCTCCAGAATAAGCGCGCCCGTTACCGCGCGCCTATTCTTAACTGCGGAGATCCCCAGATCCCCGAGGGAGACGTTACTCTTCACTGTCCTGAGGGCCTCCGCGTATTTGCCCTCAGGACAGGTCACCGTGATTGCGGCCGTTTTGGGCGGCCGCAAATTCTTGCCCTTACCGGGCTGTTTGCTTCCCTGGGGGTTTTCGCCGGTAGGGGAAGATTTCCCCTGCCCCTTCTTAGGGGCTTCCACCGGGGTCGTTCAAGAAAACCATATCATTTGATGAAACAACACTATTGTTTTAAATAATATTTTTTAAAAGTTTCTCTCAAAATTTAGTAATTCGATTTGTTTAATTTGGATTTTTTTGGATTTTTTAATTTTTTTTGTTGGATTAATCATTATAACATTTTGTTAAAAATGTGAAAGTAATTATCACTACATTACATCAATATTCATCGCATATCGAATGTTGCATTGTTTCAATATCTATCAACAAATTATCCAATAAACAACAAGTAAAAATTATATAACTATTATTTGGTGTTTGCTAGGTATGTTATAATATACTGTGAACACTATAAGGATACATTATATAAGCATGAATTGTAAGAACATCGTTGAAGTCATCAGAGTCACCGCGTGCGCGCTCGATCCGTCACGTTAAGCAACAGTTTAATGCGGTCAGGAGGTGGAGTGGGATAGGTGACCGGTGTTTTTCTACCGCTTGGGATCAAAATTATCGCAGAAAGATTCATGAGAGTTTGTGGAATGTGTTTTGACAACCTTCGATATCTAGGAGTTTATGAGACATGAGGAAATTAGGAATATAAGTATATTTCTGTAAACATTTTGATTTTCTCATTTTTCATCTTCGCATAATAATTCTCAGTATTTGATTACTATCAATATTTAACATTGATTTTATTATCAATATTCACCAGAAATTAAGTACTGGCCAAAACATTACAGAGTTACTGGTAATATTTAATCACTAATAATTTTTCAGTATTTCTTAGTATGATATTTCTATAAGGGTATATAGCCTTGGAATAAATGAATTTATGTAAGTTGAAAAATAAATTTTTTAATTTAGCATAAATTGCACTTGAAACTTTAAACACGTTTTTCTCAAAACTATGTTTTTAAAATCGGTGACCATGATATCTCAAAAACCACTACCGATCAATTTGAAATTTTACGTTTTTTAGACATGTAAATCTAGTCTTTAATCGAAAGATTTTTTTTCAATACATACTTTTTTTTAATGGACGGAAAATGTTTTTTTTTTATGAAAATCGAAACTTCAACTTTGAACATCCGCCATTTTGTCGCAATTAAATTTTTCAAAATATCGATTGATTAAAAACTAGATAAATTTATATATTAATTAAATTTTTGGGGTTTTTTCATTTCAGATAACCTAGTTCCGAACGACAGTGGTTACTGCAAAACGCGTTTTGGAAAACGGCTTTCTGAATATTAGGTATAACTTATTTATTTATTAATATTTTTACATAAAAAATATATTAAAACTTTGTCAAAGTAGGTTCTCTTGAATATAAAAACTTTCATACAAAAATATGCATACATTTTTTTTAATTCACGAAAATTCGTCTTTTTTCGGCTTCATAATTAGATATACCCTTTTAATATTGCGTAAAAGATCAATATTTCTAGATGTATTTTTTTTTTAAATATAGCCACACACATGAATGTAGCATTACACATTTCATTTAGATTTCATTATATTCATAAATGAGAATTATGAATAAACAAATTATATGCATAATTTTTGTCTTTTTATCAAGGTAAGAAATGATTCAACAATAATAGAATGTTTACAAGAACATAAAAACTTTATTATGGTCCATAATATCAGGTATAGCGGTTACATTTATGTTACAAAAGATTATCTGAATATTTACGCTAGAATATTTACGCGATCATGTTTACAAGAATACGAATAAGAATACGATACGTATCATTGTTTTCTACTATAGTACCAACGGAATGGTCGATTGCTTCTAATCGTGTAGATATTATGCAAACCAATCTATTTCATTATAGCGATCGTAGTGTTCCAATAAACGTGATGATGTATTAATGACGTTAAGTGATATATTAAATATCTATTAATGACGTTATAGGTAATATTATTACGTCATCATGTTTACTGGGGTTTATTGACATTGAAGTACAGAGACAACGACGCATTGGACGGATTATACACACTTGGATAATAGTAAGATAAGCGGTATTAACGTTATACTATAAACGAGAGATGCTTAGCGAATAGAGACAACTGACTTGTACAATGTACTTTAAAGCTCTTTATATCTTGCCGGTTGTCGGATTTATGACATTAGAAGCGAAGAATGACATATGTTAATAAAAGCTGCGCGCTATTTCTGAATAAGAATAAATATGAATGAAAGAACATTAAGATTGTACACTTGTAAAATTGTCCAACAGATATCTTATTCTCCTAACGATTAATAAATAGTTGTATAAAAAAGTGAAGACATGTAAAATGATGAAATAAGTTCGTTTTGTCTGCATGCTTTATTTCACCATTTATTATATAGTTATTTATTAATCGTCAGGGGAAAGGGATACCTTTCGGACAATTTTACAAATATGCTCAAGCAGCCTCAAGTGCTCTTTCGTTTATATTTATCTTTATTTAGAAATGATAGACAACTTTCATCAGTATGTCGTTTCTCGGCTCTGACGTCACACATTTAACATAACTGCGGCGAAGTTCAAAGAGTCTTAATGAAGGCACGTAAAAACTGATCTTTTTTCATTTTTTAAAAGTACAATGTCATAAAAATATTTCCCTAAAAATTTAGTAAAGCTGAATCCTCGAACATAAGGTTTTATATAACTAAAGGTTTAAAGTTTACAATTTATGTTCTCTTCTATAAACGTACTGTATTTTTATGATTTTTTCTCATTTTCTCAGTAATTATGTTTTTACTTTCTTTCTTATCTTTGGTGTATCTGTTCTATGTCTATTTTTCTACTTTTCTACGTTGATTTTATATCGTTTCTAGAAAATTCAAAATCTCCATTTACAAAGAAATATTTCTGTTACGAACTATTCATAACAGAAACAAATAACCGCTTAACAAATAACAAACTACAATGAAAGTCATAATTTTTTCTTCTAGGTTTATTTCTTTTGTCTCTGATAACGTATAATACAACGTATACAGAACTCTTCTTATATTACTTCTATAATTACTTAAATTTTGGGAAGATATTCTTTAAACACCGTACTTTTCAAATATATTAAAAGACATCGATTTTTGCGAGCTATTTTGATGTACAGTCGACGTTATGTAAACCGTACCATTCCATAATTATCAATAGTTATATATATATATATATTAAGTATATATATATATATATATATATATATATATATATATATATATATATATATATATAT